ACGTGTGTCGACGGTTGAAGAAGGGTCAAGGGCTACGGTAGCCAGTCGGTCTTGCATACTGCCCTGGGCCCTACGTGCTGAATAAGGTAGCAGCAATAAACCCGCGGCAGGTACGGATAAGGCGGTTCTTGAATAGTTCATCTCAAGCTCGGTGATCTCTGCACCGGTCCCCGGGATTGCATCGGAATTTGGGCCAGCTCTGGTACGGATCCGAGAAGGCGTTTAGAGTTGACAGTCCACTCTTTTTCGTTTCCACTTGGCTAAGAACGATTCAGTACCTTGGGTATGTTTTTTCATGTCTGGTACACACATTTGCCGAGCAACCTTACGTATGCACAGTCACGGTAAGGGTGTTAAGAAACAAGACACAGTCAGTGACGGTCCTTCCCCTTCCCTTCCGAACATCTACAACGGGAGCATTTGACAGATCACGGCTGTCTCGCCTGCCTCGGCTCGTGTCGGGCATGCAGCTTTTCTGCTTCGTCGCTCTTCCCCCATTGCTCCGCTAGCCCAGAGAATTGAAATTTTCAAGTAACTTTTTCCAGGGCCTGTTGGTACGGAAATGCCTCTTTTAGCTTGTGTGCAAGGGGTATAAAAAAAAAAAAAAAAAGGACATGCTGCTGCAGATCCCGGCGGCCTAGCATTTGGTGATCTGTACGTACCGGGGCGATTCCTTATCAGATCCGGCCAATAGCCGGGTGTCCACTCACAATGGGGCTCTTCCATTCCAAGGTGGACGAAGTGCCCTGTTGACAAGCGGAGATGCAGCGAGAGGGTAACGTCGTCGGGGATTGACCTTCTCGACGTTTTCTTACGTCTTGGGCGAGCTCCAAGGGGGAAGTAGTGTACAGGATATGAGAAACTACGTCAAGTAAGAAGACAACAGACAGCATTACAAAAGAGAGAAGAAGAGAATGCGCGCCGTTAATGCTCGTTAATGCTCCTCTTCCAGGGTGGGCCGCGATCGCATGTCACCGATCACCTGCCAGCTGTCAAAAAGGCGCTAATGTGCCGATGTGAGGTGCTGACGGCCGGCGACGGGCCGTCGCAGACTTCCAGTCGATGAGCAGAGCGGTACCGGTCGATTTTTTCCCTCTGGCTGGCGCTCGATCGCTCGCTCAGGTCTGCACAGTTGCTGGGTGCTCGGAGCCCCTGCCCCTCCTCCACACCTCCACCTGCATCATACCTTACCGGCTCGCTGCCCACGCACCACGCCCACCACACCACGCCCAGTCATAGTCTCGCAGGCCTCAAAAAGTAAAAAGCCTCGTCGCTCCAATTTCTGTTCCTATTTTTGCACTTTTCTCCCTCTCTCTGTCCCTTTCTGTCTTGCTCTCTCCCCTCTTCCTCGTACCCGTCACCACCCGTTATACCCCCCAGGGCCGTCAATTGACCTGGAATTTGACCATCTTGCCGGCCGCCAGAAGAGTGAGAGAGTCTCAGTCAAGTCAGACCAAGTTCGAAGCTAAACTGCCCGAGTCTGCTGTGAGGTGTTTGTGCGTGTGAGTCTTCCCTAGCCTCCCGAGGGGTCCAATGCTCTGTGAAGGAGCTCCTCGTCTTGAATTCTACCCGAACGTCTTCACTTCCCCATCTGTACCTTTCCTTGAGTCTGTCCTCCTCCACATTGCTCTCCCGCCGTTACTCGGGATGCGGACCGCAACGACAACGAGGACGAGGGAATACGATGGAGACGGAAGAGAGTGTGGACAGGAGCAGTGAACAACGGGTAGGAAAGGAACGGATTTGCACATGGACTTTTCAATTGCTGTTCTTCGCCATCGTCGCAAACCTAACTAACGATTCTACCCTCAAAAGTCCACACAGTCGCAATGCTCTCCGCAACCTCTGCCGTTTTTCGGGCTGGCGCCCGCCGCGCCGTGCCTCGTGTCGCTCGTCGCCAGAACATCGCAGTCACCAGAGTCAACAACCCCTTCCAACCCCTCAATGCCATCCGCGCCCTCTCCTCCACCGGCTCCCAATCCGAGCAGGCCAACCGCGACCGCACCCGGGCCATCATCATTCGCACACTGAGCCAGATCGGCAGCCGTCGCGAGGGCCAGCAATATCTCTCATACTTCACCTCCGTTTCATCCCAAAAGTTCGCTGTTATCAAGGTCGGCGGTGCCATTCTCACCGACTACATTGATGACCTCTGCGAGAACATCGCCTTCCTCTACGAGGTCGGCCTGTACCCCGTCATTGTCCATGGCGCGGGCCCTCAGCTGAACCGACTCCTTGAAGAGGCCGGTGTTGAGCCCCAGTTCGAGGAGGGCATCCGTGTCACCGACGGCAAGACCTTGACCGTTGCCCGCAAGCTCTTCCTCCAGGAGAACATGAAGCTCGTCGAGAAGCTCGAGAGCCTTGGCGTCCGCACTCGCCCTCTGACCACCGTCCTCACCGCCGACTACCTCGACAAGGAGAAGTGGAACCTGGTCGGCAAGATCACCAGCGTTGACAAGGCGCCCGTTGAGCTCGCCATCTCTCAGGGCTACGTCCCTATCCTCACCTCCATGGCCGAGACCACTGAGGGTCAGATCCTCAACGTCAACGCCGATGTCGCCGCGGCTGAGCTGGCCCGCGCGTTGGAACCCTTGAAGATTGTCTACCTTTCCGAGAAGGGCGGTCTGTTCAATGGCGAGACTGGCGACAAGATTTCTCACATCAACCTCGACGAGGAGTACGACCACCTCATGTCCCAGTCCTGGTGCCGCTACGGCACTCGCCTCAAGATCAAGGAGATCAAGGAGCTTTTGGAGACACTGCCACGCAGTTCCAGCGTTGCCATCATCCACCCCAGCGACCTGCAGAAGGAATTGTTCACCGATTCCGGCGCCGGCACCCTGATTCGCCGCGGAGACAAGATCGCCTTTGCCGACAGCATCGAATCGTTCCCCGACCTCACCAAGCTGAAGCAGACCCTCATCCGTGATCGCGAGGGCATGGACGCCGAGGCCACGGTCGACCGATACATTGAGTTCCTCAGGGGCACTCCCTTCAAGGCTTACTACGATGAGCCCTTGAACTGTCTCGCCATTGTTCTGCCCCCCAATGAGAACCGATCTCACCCGACTCTGGCTACCCTCACTGTCACCAAGGAGGGATGGTTGAGCAACGTCACTGAGAACGTATTCCACGCCATCAAGAAGGACCACCCCAAGCTCGTCTGGACCGTCAGTGAGGAAGACGAGAATCTCACCTGGTTCTTTGACAAGGCCGACGGAAGCTTCTCCAGTAAGGGCAACCAGCTCTTCTGGTACGGCATCGACAACCTCCAGGAGCTTGGCGTCTTGACCGACGAGTTCAACGCTCATGGCAGAGCCATGCTCGGCGACTCCAACTTGGAGGCCCGCCTCCGCCGCGCCGCCCAGACCTCAAGCCGGAACCTCAACCAGTCTTCCGCGCCTGCCCAGGCCCGCGGCTTCTCGACAATGGCTCGCCGTCCGACCTGGGCTCCGGCCGCCGCCACCCTTTCCGGCAAGCGTACCTTTGCCACTTACACCACCACCAACCCCAACCCTCCCCTGGGCAAGAAGAACGCCTCCAACGACGTCCCCTCGCGTGTCGCCTTGATCGGTGCCCGCGGTTACACCGGCCAGGCTCTCATTGAGATGCTCAACGCCCACCCCAACATGGACCTCAGACACGTCTCGTCTCGTGAACTCGCCGGCCAGAAGCTCGAGGGCTACACGAAGCGTGAAATCACCTACGAGAACTTGAGCCCTGACCAGGTCACCGAGCTCGAGAAGAAGGGCGCCATCGACTGCTGGGTCATGGCTCTTCCCAACGGCGTCTGCAAGCCCTACATTGAGGCCATTGCCGATGCCCGCAAGGCCGGCGCCGACCACCGCAGCGTCATCGTCGACCTGTCAGCCGACTACCGCTTCGACAACACTTGGACGTACGGTCTTCCCGAGTTGACCGGCCGCTCCGAGATCTACAAGGCGGATAAGATCTCCAACCCCGGCTGCTACGCTACTGCCGCCCAGCTCGGTATCGCTCCCCTTGTCGAGCACCTCGGCGGCTCCCCCTCCGTCTTCGGCATCTCCGGCTACTCGGGCGCCGGCACCAAGCCCTCCCCCAAGAACGACGTCAACCTGCTCAAGGACAACCTCATGCCCTACAGCTTGACGGACCACATCCACGAGCGCGAGATCAGCGCCAAGCTCGGCACCGACGTCGCCTTTTCCCCGCACGTCGCCTCCTGGTTCCGCGGCATCCAGGCCACCATCCACATCCCCCTCAACAAGACCATCACCTCGCGCGACATTCGCCAGATCTACCAGGACCGCTACGCCGGCGAGAAGCTCGTCAAGGTCATTGGCGACTCACCGCAGGTCAAGAACATTATGAACAAGCACGGTGTTGAGATTGGTGGCTTTGCTGTCCACAGCAGCGGCAAGCGCGTTGTTGTTTGCGCCACCATTGATAACCTGCTCAAGGGCGCGGCGACTCAATGTCTTCGTAAGTGGGATCCTTTTCACTCGTCAAGAATTCTAATGAGAGCACGTTTACTAATTTCCGCCTGCAGAGAACATGAACCTCGCTCTCGGCTACGCCGAGTACGAAGGTATTCCCACCATGTAAAGGGGATCGGCGTCCAATGATCAAGGGGGCGGATTAGATTCACAAGGCTCGGCGCGGACACTCAAACTTATCTGGAGTCAAACCGGTTCAAAAAGCATCTTGCCATTTACTTTTTTTATTCTTTTTCCAAGTAACTCTTTCCCTCTGGTTTCTCTTTCCTGCGTGGTTTTTTTTTTTTTTTTTTGGCCTCCACGTCCCTTTGGATCCAATGGGGGCTCTCAGACGTTTCTCTATCTTATCCTGCTTCTTCGGGGGACCCGGGGCGGGTCGTTCATCCGTGGACCCATCTCTCATGATGTGAGTTATGTATCCATGTATATACCGGGTTACGAGTTAAGAGGTAATTATACATATTTAAAGCATTGCTTCCTTGTCGCATTTCGTGATGAAGATGAGTGACCTTTTTTTCCCGAGTATTAAGATGTCGTATTCTCGCCATCGATTATATTTTCCTGGGAAGACGCTGCTCTGTCCCCCATCCAATTGATGTCAAATGCGACTTCCCACTCTTCTGTTCGAGCGCCAGATGTTACGGATTTATGTGTCCAACTGAACGATAACAACGCAGACGGGTTCGGTGATGGCAAATTAATGACAGCCTTGTCTGCCATAGGCAGGCCTACTCGCGTGACAACATCGTCAAAGACCGAGGAGCCAGGCCTCTGGGAATCCAAGTAGGAGTTGATATAATCCACCTTTGTCTGGAATACCCCGTATCTCTCGAGGAGGGTGCCCCTCATCAGAAAAGGGCTGAGACCGGTACGATTAGGCAAATTAGAGTCAAAAATGAAGACATAGTCTGTACTGTGGCTCCTCTGGAGGCCTACAGAGAAGGGTAAGAGCCACCTAATATGGAAGAGGACCGATCCGCAGAAAGCCCTGGGGTGCGCCACAAACTCGCATCCCTCATCGTTCCACTTCGACCAGGGTGAGGCCTCTGCTACACTCATATTCTCGGGGCACCGAAACTTCAACCTGGTTCGGAACCCTACGTTGTGACTAAAGAGGCGGATTGGGTAGGGTGAGAACTTGACCAGCAAATTCAGCTCCCGGCGGCGGAACCTGTCCCAGCGGAGATTGGGGATCGGGGCACGTTGGTCCATGTTCTCCCGGACAAAGGAGCCACCCACGACTTTGACGAGACGGACAATGATGATGTCTTCACCCTGATCACGGGATCCGCAGTATATGTAATAGCGGCGGCCGCCGGTCTCGGGCACTTCTTCCCAGGTGAGCTCGGTGAAGAGTTTAATGCTACTCTTCGTGACCTGGAGCGTCGGCCGCCTGCCAGACGTCGGGTCAATCCTCCCCTGGTGACGGTGGATGCCAAAATCGTCGGCGGACTCGGCAAGAAGACCGCTGAGAACCCTCTGGCCCTCGGTGTCACGGAACGACTGCGTCGGGGGCGGTCTATGCTCGCCCCTCTCCCAAGCAAAGATCGTCACGTCGTTGCTCTTCGCTAGGATCTCGTTCTGGAGCCTCTGAAACGCCTTTTCCTCCTCGCCGTAAAAGAGGGGCATGTTGATGTCAAAGATGCCCATCAGGCAATACGCGGCGTCCTCGATGCGGGTAGTGTCCCGTCCCGCAGCCCAGGACATCTTCTCCGCGACAGTTGTGTACGTCAGTGCGCGCTCGTCACCGCCGAGGACGTCGATGTCGATGGCTGTAACAGCATGAAGCTGCCGGAGGAGGCCGCTCTTGCTGCCGACGAGGGTCCAATCTTGGTCGTAGAACTGGACTGTCCTGGAAGCGATGAGTTCTTGCAGTGTCCAGCCACGTGTGAACCAGCGGCATGTACCTAGCTCTCTGGCACCGTCGTCACTGTAGATGTTGGTGGAAGGAATGAGGTCAGATAGCCAGACATAACAGACGTTGGCGCGCTGGTACCACTTGAACATTGAGTTTATCGCTTCTGTGAGCTCGGCGCTGCTCGACTTGTCGATGCAACAAGTGTCGATCCAGGCATACTGTAGGCCCTGTTGGCGGGCCAACGCGCAGGTACGTTGGATTTTTGCAAATCCGATCTTGTTGATGGCAGTGGGTTGTTGCCGCCCCGGGGACTGGCCCTGAATATCCTGGAAGGAAACCTCCTCTTCAGCCCATGTGTGCGAGAGGATTGCGTAGGAAGGTATGTTCCTTCCGATGAACTGTCCCAGTTTTAGGGTTTCTGTGTCGATGAGCCACATTGAGATGAGTCTGGTGTGAGGCTGACTTGTGCAAGGTGTTGAGGTATCGTTCAACTTTGGTGACGGAGAGTGTAGTCTGTGTGAGAGTAGCGGGCCGGCGAGTTAAAGTTTTCTTATTCTATGCGTAATTGAGGAAGTGAGGCGCCGAGTCGACCATCCCGAAAACGATGCCTCTTAAATATGGCCAGAGGGTGAGATGGACTTGCCATCAGGCTGAACATTGATGTGAGGGAAGTTGGTGTGCCATCCCTCTAACGCATGCTATCAGGCAATCACGCCAAGTACAGGGTAGTGGGTAAGCGCCATCCACATCTGGATCCTTTCGTGCATGCCGCCCAACGGGTGTGTTGGCCGCAAGGCTCCTTGATTGATTGGTTGGCCGATTTGGCCGATTGCCTCTTCCCAACACAGAGGTAAGGCATGGAGGAGGTGAGAAACGGGGTTTTTGGAAGCCAGATTCGAAAACCGAAGCCAAATCAATGGCGGAGCAAGGATCAATCATGGCATTATACCAGTCCAATTAAATGTAATTATGTGAGAAAAGGTAATTCTTCTCGTGGATAATATCTGCTGACCAGAGCTTCAAAGAATGAAAAGTCATGTAACGCGACGTCGCCTTGATTTTACAGGTATACCATCGCAAGGCAGCCCAAGAACCCAAACATAGCAAACTTGAGGGAGACGTCAAAACTCTTCGAACTCGACCCGGCCGGAGTAAAATTGGCAGTCGGCTTGACTCCGTCGGTGAAGGGGGCATTGGCAGCTTGGACGGCTCCGGGAAAGGCCGCCGTCGACGTGCCCGGGGCCAATTTGGGTGATGCCGGGTTGAGGACACTGTTTGTCTGTTAGAGAGTTGGGAAAAACCCTTGCCCGCGCAAGACGGGAGAGGTGTTGATACGGACGTACCTGTCCACGACGTGCATGACCCCGTCGCTGGTGATGATATCCTTGATGGTAACCTTGGCAGAGTTGGCAAAGACGGTGGTATCCTCCTTCCGCAGCGTGACCTTCTCGCCCATCAGGCTCTTGTATCCCATCTTTGTCGTGACGCCCGTGGTGAACCGGACCTGGTTCGTGAGGACGTGGTACTGCAGGATCCGAGCGAGGTCCGCGGGCTCCATCGACGCCGCCGTGGCGCCAATCGCCTGGAACGCGGCATTCGTCGGCGCGAAAATGGTGGCGACCTGCAACGAGTTGATCCCGTCGACGAGGCCGGCCTTGACCAGCGCACCCGCCATGCTCGTGAGACCCGTGTTCATGGCCGTGTCGGCGGGGGAACCGGGGACGGTCAGGACGGTGTCGATGATGTGCAGCACGCCGTTCTGGAAGGCGACGTCGGCCTTGTTGATGACGCTCATCTGCTTGTAGCCGCTAAAGACCCTGCCCTGGTCGCCCTTCCTGACGAGCTCGACCTTTTGGTTGCCCGTGACGTTGGCGGTGGGCGTCTGGAGGAGGGTCTGGGCGAATTTGGGCTGGTCATAGAACATGGCGGCCGTGGTCTTGCCGCTGGCGACGTGGTAGCTCAGGAGGTCGGTGAGGAAGGTTACGTTGGTCGCCTTTTGCGCAAACGTGGGGTCCATCTGCATCATCTTGGCAAAGGCGTCATTTGATGGGGCGAGGATGGTGATTTCTTTGGCTTTTATGAGAGTCTGGTTGAGGACTGGAACCTTTGCCAGGAGCGCTGCTTGGTGTTAGTGGTCCACTCTCTCGTCTACCTATCTCACGCAGAAGTTGGGAAGTTTCCGTACAGTTGAGAGTGCTCAAGGAATCACTGTTCGTCTTGAGCACATCGTTGAGAGGTGGAGCCGCTGCCGCCAGTGCAGCAAAGGCGAGCGTCAGGAAGCTCGTCGGCTGCATTGTGCGGGAGCGGGCGAAGGAAACGGGAAGCCAGCCCGGTAGATGAAGAAGAAGGACAGAAAGTTGACGGCTTTGATTTAGGTTCAGTCGAGGCGACGATCTCCGGGAACGAGCCGTCTAGTAATACTTATACTGACAAGTCTCAACCCAACCTTCCGGGTCCGAGAGGCGGGGGAGGCATGTCTCGACACTTTTTTCTTTTGCCAAGGTCAGACGGTTCGTATGCTTTCCCTTGGTTTACGAATACCTACCATCCTCAGCATTGCAATACGACTGCTAAAATAAGCATTCGAGGTGGGCCTTTATGGACCCGGTTTTGTTTTATGTCCTGATGCAATTCCGTCTTCTTTCATACTCTCGTTACAACCCGTTATCTGTGCTTGACTCGTAGGCCCTTGTAGATCGTGGGAGGACCCGTGGAAGCAAGCTTGACACTTCTCTCCGAGGCGCGGCCGTCCCGACGCATGGCGGACTCATCAGTCTTACTACCTACTACCTTTCATGACATCAGGCAAACAAGAGGAGAGAGACACACTGGGCTTTTGCGCCGGGAGAGAGAGGGGGGGGAGAGGCCAATACGTAGTGGGCGAATTAAAATACGTTGAAACACATCCTGACCATGCTTTTTTCTCCCCCCCTAACAAGATACGGTACGACGAAAGGTTGAGGGGAAGTGGTGGTGGATTCTCCTTCTCTCATTCGCCTGGGATGGTAGCAATTGCGGCGGTACGAAAGGTGCTGTGCGGGAGATCGACGAGTAGAAGCGGCGGGATGACGGTGAAACATGCCTCAGAGCAACAGGCGGAAACGCATCCATGCGGAGTGGGGGCTCTTCTCAGACGAAAGGGGAAAGTAGTTTTTGGGTGGGTTCTTCAGAAAGAGCGACGCGTGCTGTCGGTAGAGCCGCATCTTTTGGGAAGACTAAGAGAGGGAGGAAAGAGATTAATCAGGCCCTAAGCTGAGCTGCACCAACTTGGTAGAGGTCTTGGTAAAGGTAGTGCAAATCTAAGCCGGCGACATTGGCAAAGACCACGGGTGCTATCATATAACCCAGAAGAAGATAATTGAGTGACCTGAATCTGTAAAGAATGGAGCCAATGGAAATGGAACGCCACGGAAGAGTTCGAGGTGGTTGAGACATGCACTGACAGGTTCCAAAATGGAAAACCATGCTGGGGTTGAAGTTATTCGCGGATCGAAGCCCCGGGTGGAGATGACCGGAGTGGGTCCGGTTGGGCGCTCCCTGGTCCAAGAAGAAGCCGCGCTAGTGGTGGATGACTCAGCCAATTTTAGTGCAACTCCCAGGAACTCCTGAGTCCTGACAGACATACACCGCACCGCGCCGCACCGCCTGCAACGATCTTGTCTTGGACACCCAAACCTGCTTCCGCGGTAGCGCTGCCCGTTGTGCACCGCAGCAGCACAATGCACCGCAGCGATCCCATCTACCGCGCGCCTTGGGAGAGGCATGCCGGACTTTGGTTGACCGAGCGCATGGCTATCACGGCAGCGTCGGTAACTCTTTCAAGAAAGCTTAAACACGTTCCGTGGCCTGCAGCAGGGATCGCCCCTTCGCGTGCAGGACATTGTTGTTGCTGTCCGCCTCGCGTTGGGTTTTTTCTGCGCTGAACGTCGGTCTTCACTCTTCAGCCACGGCCGATGTCGAGACCATGACCTCTAGTCGCTTGATGAATGGCATGTTCGCACGGAAAGGAATAAGGTGCTGACTGGCACGGCGAGTTCTCGCCTTGATGAAATGAACTGCAATATTTGGTTATTCCTATACGCGGACGTGGCCTCGCCAGACCCTACCTACTCGAGGCCACGCGTATCGTTGCACTTCGAAGTCGGAACGACTTGAAAAGATGCACAAACCAGTCGGCGATAGGCACGGAGAATATCAGAGAGAAACTGCCGCTTCTTTTGGCTCTCTAAATACGATGCTTTGGCCTGGCCTTTTGTTTACAGATTTGAGCTGCCCGTTGCTAGAAGCAAAGGTGGTATCGCTATAAGCGCCGCCCTTACCTTTCCATCCTCAACTCATACCATACACTTTCGCCTTCATCTTGAGGCCTCACTATCTTCAATTGCAACTCTGGATCCTTTGAGGGATTGGGCTATTTTGCCTACACATGTTGCATCCCCACGGGGATTTTTGGCTTCGCCCACGTTTCCACCTAGCCCAGCCGTCGTATCACAACTCCCTCGAAACCCACCAAGACCTTGGCTGCTCTCTGGTGAACACGTCGCTATACTTACTCATTCTCAACAAAGCCGCCGGTTCGGCGGTGAAGCTTCCAGTTTATTCAGTAGTAGCATCACCAAGATCGACCTCGCGGACTCTCTGGATAGCTCTCATGAGCATTGATTGGCTTTAAACGGGATGCCCGATGGTGTTGACTCTATAAACCATCACGTGATGGTTTCTCGACGCTCGAGAATAGGCCGCCGCGAGATCCAAGTAAGCCCAGGATCACATCACTATGCCTCCCCCAGCAAACAATGAACAACGCATCGCCCCCTCTCCGGTCTGAAACGTCCTCTAGCCACAATTCTCGCTGCTTGTATCCTTGTTGTTTACAGTAAGCTCGTTTAAAAATCCCCATCGCCATCGTCTTCAATGCCTGGACAAAAGGGCAAAGCTGGGCCAGTGCCACAATCCATGGCACTGCGCCACACCCTCAATATCCGAAAACACGTCATCCGCACCCTTCCTCGCCCACGCCGCAGCGTGTTGCGCGTTCCCCAGGCGTGGAAAGCCTGAAAGTGTGTCCGCCTTCTTCATGGGAGGAGCAATATTAAGGTTCAGAGACGATTAGTGATGCGCCATTGTCGAGTGATCTAAAGTACTTTCATCATTTTCTCTTCTCATACTGCGAACCTCTGAGAAACCTCGACAGCTTGGGAGATCTCTTCAAACGTTCCGTCCACCTTGCGTCTGCATCGCCAAGTATTTTCCAATGATGGACACCACGCAGGAGCGGGAGCGTGAGCGTCACACAACGAGCTCCATCGCAGAGCAAGAACTGTTCTTTTCCCAATCGCCATCAGGCCAAGGCCAACCTCAGTCTGGGCAGCGGCAGCAGCAACAATCTCAGCCTCGATGGTATGATAATGCCAACGACGACTCGCCCGTCGAACCAAGGGGCGGGGTCCCGGCTGTGAACATCATTCCGGCCACGCCTTCCACCCTTCGCTCCAACAGCGTGCGCTCAAATCTCTCATGGCGGGACAGGGACGCCGAGAACCGGCAGGCGGCGGCGGCGGCGGCCGGGGCGCTCCCGGAGGTTGAGGAGGAAGACAGCATCTATGATCCACCGAGCACCAAAAGACCATCAACGCCACCTACTGAGTACAAGGTGCCCACTCACCACACGGCATCTACTTTTGACTCGCCGACTCAGACGAGGGTGGATGAAGATTACTATGTGTCGCCGATGACCGAGCCTGCTGTATTGCACAGGGACACGGGATTCACTCGTACAGACTCATTTGACAGTAAGCCAGCTGAGGTATCTTCTGAACGGTACTATAATGCGACATACTACCCTCAAAATGAGCAACCTTCTTCATTTGATAAAGGCAAAGCCGTTGAGACGCATCCGGAACCCGCGGTGCCGTATTATAGAACTGAGCACTCAAACGTCAATGAGCGCCGTTCATCATTCGATAAGGGCAAAGCCGCAGAAGCGCACCCACATTTTGAAGACCAGCCGCCTGTGCCGAACCCAAGACCAGTATCAGATATTCCCGACTTTTACGCTCAAGAACGTGGCGCCTACGGAACTACAGATCTGACAGTCCAAGAACAAGAGGACCGCGATTATGCAATGGCCCTGGCACTCCAGGAAGAGGAAGAAGACCAGTCGCCATCCCTTCCTCAACGGCACACCCAGCCGGCATGGAATAGCAACGGACCGCTCTCCTCCAATCCCTTCTCGTCACCCGAGGACCAGGATCGCGCCCTCGCGGAGCGTCTCCAAGAAGAGGAAGAGTCCGGGCCGCCGCCCCCCTTACCGGCCCGACCTCACCCCAAAGCCGTGGCGGAGCTCCTCGCCCAGAGCCAGGAACCTGCCCCATTCTCAAGAACGCCCTCTGTAGAAGGCATCATGCCGCCTCCCAAACGCCAAGGCTCGGACTTTGGCAACGACGACCCCTCCAACCCCATCCACTACAGCCGAGACCCTCACAAGCTCATCACCTATCTCGTCCCCTTCCCCAAGCCCTGGTTGGCCTCCAAAGCCCCCTCCGACACCGACGCCATGCCCACCCGCTTCCTCATCTACACGCCCCCTCCCCCGCCTCTCCAGGCGCCGCCCGAGGGTGTCAAGGAGGGCGTCAGCCACAAGGTACAGCGGAAGTGGCAGACCGAGGTCCGGCAGGCAAAGATGAGCGATGCAAAGACGACCAGCTGGGCGGGCTTCAAGGCCAAGTGTACGCGCGGTGTCGATAAGGCGATGCAGTATACCACCACGAGCAACTTGGACTACCTGGCGCGCGTCACGCCTCCGCCGAAGCCGCCCTCGGCTCTCTCGCGCAAGCTGTCCCTGAAGGGAAGGGTGAAGAAGGATAAAAAGGACAAGCAAGCTTCAGGCGATGAGAAGGAGACCAAAAAGAGCCTCGACGAGAAGAAGCGCGAGAGCTCCGACAACAGGGGTGACGCGGAAAAGCTCCTCCGCGACGACGAGAAGAAGTCGTCCGAGGATAAGGGCGCCGATGAGAGAGCGAGGGACGAGAAGAAGCGGGCCGAGGAGAAGGGCGACAGGGAGGAAGAAGAAGAGGACGGCTTTCAATCGCGGCAGGCGGAGAAGGACGAGCACGACGAGTCGATGGAAGACGATCCGGCTCACGCGTCACACGAGACCAAGAAGACGGTCGGCGTCGAGGAGATTGTCTTTGTGTACTCGCCCTCGATGAACATGACGCCCGAGGCGATGAGGGAGGAATTCATCAACTCCATGCTGCGGACAAAGTCCAAGGCGCAGCGCGACGCCATCATCGCGACCGGTCTGCTACCCGTTTCGCTGGCTATTGACACGGTCATGATTGCCGTCTCTGGACTCTTTGAGGTCAACGGTAAGCTGTCTTTACTTAACATCTAGTCTCTTGTGGCCCTTTTTACTGACTTTTCGCAGCCGTATGGGCATACTTCACCATCAAGGGCTCCAAGACGGCGCGGTCCGTCACCAAACGCATCGCCTCCTCCTCCAAGAGGCCCGAGTCCATCGACCCCGAAAAGTCCGAGGCCGAACTGGCCAAGGAGGACAAACTCCAGCTCAGCTTCAAGCCTGCTAATCGCATCGACGTACTGTCGCGGTACCTGGAGGCCGAGTGTCACCGCGTCGACTCGAAGTTGTTTCCCCGATACACCTCTTCGCCCACGGAAGCGTCAGTTCCCCCCCTCCCCCCCACACACACAGGCACCCACTTCAACCCATAGATATAAGGCAAGCTAACACACGAAAATAGGGAATGCCTAGAAGCGATCGGCTGGTCCCCGGCCCTGACGCGCGGTCAGAAGAACTGGGAAGACGAGGCGTGGGAGGTGAACGACGTCAAGGAGGATTTGAGGGTTGTGATGCACAAGGCTGCGAAGGAGTGGCGGAAGTGGTGCAATCGGTACGAGAAGAACCCGGAAAAGAGCTTGAGCAAGTGAATGAAGCATGCTTTGATTAGAAGCGCTGCATGATTTGAGCGAATACACAACATGTCCTTTTTGAGTTGGTGTGCGGCAAGATAAAGCACGTGTTATGCGTAGTTCAGCTATATATATCATCTGTCAACGGTGTGCTACGGCCGTAACTGAAGAAAGCCCGTATGCTCTCTGTTTAAACCTCCGCTTACCCATGACGCCGACTCACATGCCCAGAATCTTCTCATAACTTTTCCCATTCGCATTGGATTCAACTAAATCGGTTATTCAGCCCCATCCTACACTCAACTATACTTGTCCTGCTTTTGATCTCGGCCATAAACTTGCTTAGCTTACCACATGTTCCAGGTCCCAAGCTGCATAGTCGATATCAAGTTTCCAAACTCTACCTACGGGACGTCTATCAACGCCAGGTTTCTAATCTCGCCCGAAACAAGTCCATATGACTTGCTCCGCCTCTCACATAACACAGTCTGATATTCCCCGTCCAGACTTACGTATGCGCAGAAACGCAAGTATTTTGTTCATTCGTAGTTTTGCTGCTTCGCAAAATATTTCGAGGACATTTGAGATGGTCGCCGCCAGCCTGACGAGATGGATCCGGAATCGTTCGTTTCAGAGTAGACCACACAGTAGGGAAATGAAAGAATGTGTGATAAAGATTAGAGTGAACCGTACGTTCCTATCATTACCCGTAGGAGCCCTGGGAGGAGGTTGCGCTGTCTGCTTCCTCTCAATGCGGGAGATACGAAGCCTGAGCCTTCCAACGTGGAGGGGAAGCTCGCTGGCAACTCTTGCCCATGGTCTAGGAGTCAAGGCTAGAGCGTACCTCAGGGAGGTAAGCGATGGTTTTCATATTGCTTCACAGGCGCGGACTTTGGAGGTCAAGTTCGTTGACTCTGAAGGGGGACCAAAGCTGGTTCGCGTTAACAAGGACGGCATATCTTCTCAAGGTGATATTCGAAGCACTTCAACAGAGGCCTGCATGCGTTGTGGGAGTGAAACACCCATCACAGCTGGCTTGATTGCGAAGTAGGTAGAGGCGCGGGAAATTCGATGTTTTCAATTAATCGTGGTTGATGTCTAAGTACTTGTAGATGGGTGTATAGAAATAAACGTTATGAGCTCGAGCAACAAGAAGGGTCAACCTAATGTAAGGTACTCATCATGTCATGCGGTAGTTATTGGAGAGTATCGAGAGTAACTATCTGTGTGTGTGGATTCGGATAAGACTCACGATAATCATGGCTCTTGGACCAAAAGGTGGGAGATCAGATGACATCAGCTAGTCTCGGCAGACCACCCATTTCGGCCCGGCTCCGAAAAGCATCCTCGCCACCCGGGGAGACCGTTGGCGGGCAAAACCCTAGTGCCATCAAAGCCTCCTCTCGAGATCTTGCAATTCTTTTTTGCCCTTTCCCATCTCCACCATCCCCATGATTGAATGCGGGGTGAGCCCATGCTAGAGCTTTCTCCAAGACTCCACCAGTTCAAGCGACCCAATGCCGTCACCAGAAACACCTCGGGAAAGTCATCTCCATGTGGGGGAATCCTGGCCCTGACCAGCCCTCAAACCTTGTTTGAGATAGCTTCGGTAGAAAGACCACCGCCCCAGGGCCAGTACCAACCCAAACGTAACTTGAGAACCGTGTTGGTCGTGATCGGATCGGCGTCGACTGGCGATGCTCATTAAACACGAGGAAAACAACGTTGCGGGGGATGCGGAGCCGAAAGGCCAATGCCCCGTGGTTCCGAGCCATCCACAGTTGCACCAAGCATCTCCGATGGATGTAACGCACTTTTAAGAGAGTGCTTTCTCCTCTTCTTTTCGCCAGAGTGACCTTGTTTTCATTTTCATTCCAGCTCTGCTTCTCACGTGGGGGACTTGACGTGAGTCTCTATTTCCCGCAATGAAGGGTCTTGCCATCGCCTTTGCGGCATTCGTGTCGTCGACATGCGCGCAGTATATGAAGACACCCGCCTCGCCGCGTTATGGCTCTCACCAAGCCGTCCCGAGACAGGCTGGTAATCAGACTGGCGGCTCGTGGCCGTACGGTCCCTTTAGCACTCGCGGACGTGATATCGTCAATGCCCGCGGCGAGGTCGTGACATGGGCTGGTGTCAACTGGCCGATGAGTGGTAGGTTCAGCTTTCGAGTTGTGAGGAAGCCAGAAAGCCAGACTAACATACCATGAAGGAGAGACCATGGTTCCCGAAGGTCTGGAATGGGCCTCTGTCGATCAAATCCTCGACGACGTCGAGAGCGTCGGCTTCAACTACATCCGCATGTAAGTCCCTTTCATTCTTAGACGGGAATTACACACCACACTGCACATTCAGAATACCATCCCAACTCACACTCCTCTCAGGGGCTACTCCATCGAGATGGTTGACCAAATCTACGACCGCGCCGGCGAGGACGTCCCCCTCGAAGTCGCCATGATCACGGCCCTAGGCTTCGTCAACGGCACAAAGGTCACCAACGAAATCATCCGCCACAACCCCACCTGGACGCGTGAGACGACCCGCTTCGAGATCTGGTCCGCCGTCGTCGAGGCCGCCTACGAGCGCGGCATCTTCGTCTCCCCAGACGTCCACGTCGGAAAGGCCCAGTGGTGCTGCTCGCACACGGACGGCAACGCCTGGTTCGACGACGTCTACTTCAACACGACGCACTGGCGCCGCGGCCTGGGCTACGTCGCCAACTGGGCCAAATCCCACCCCAACATCGTCTCCCTCTCGCTCCGCAACGAGGTCCGCGAGTCGTGGAACGTGACGAACCTGTACTACAACTGGGAGACGCTCGTCGGCAACTTCTCGGCCGGCGCCGACGCCATCCACGAGGCGAACCCGGACGTCCTCATTCTCTGGGGCGGCATGCAGTACGGCCAGGACCTCTCCGCCCTCACCTCGGGCAAGAACTACCTGACGGCGCCGTGCTACAAGTGCACCGCCATCCGCGACGCCGCCCGCCGCGAGCCCAAGGTCTTTGACCTCGACAGCCACGCCTGGGCGGACAAGCTCGTCTGGGAGCTGCACCTCTACAAGATGAGCGAGGACCTCGACACGGGGACCTGCCCCATCATCGAGGCGGGCCTCTACCGCAGCGGCTTCAACGCGCTGGGCATCGACAAGCCCGCGGCCTGCAACGTCACCGACGACTGCCCCAAGGCAAGCCGGCTGACGCCCGTCATCTTCTCCGAGTTTGGCAACGCCCAAGATGATACTCTACGCAACGACACCCTGCAGGTGTGTCTGAGGGAGTACACCGTCAAGCACAAGGTCAGCTGGATGGTCTGGGGTCTCGCCGGCAGCTACCGCGTGCGGTCCGGCGCGCAGGGTGTCCCGGATACGTGGGGTCTGACAAACTATGAGTGGAACGGGTGGAACTCTCCCGAGACGATCGAGGATATCTGGAAGCCGTGGGTGAAGGCTATGAACCCGACAAGGAAGCCATGAAGCATGGCTATAGAGTACGAGTAGATCATAATGCGAATTATAATTTAATTTCAGGTTCTTGAGCGTGAGTTTCATTCAAGGGGCCTATTCTAAGAGGCAACAATAGTCAGGATGGTTTGCAAGTGCGGTGACATATACTACACGATAACAGACCACAGCCATACATTTCAACATCTGTAGAATGACTTAGTACAGATTCATGACGTTATCAGGCAATTTTACGTCAAAATATCCGCGACCAGGAAAGCAACCTAGATTTTGCAGAGTCGCCCGTCCCTTCTCTCCTTTCATCCCTTGTTTCTGACACATGGCTGGCGCCAGAAGACATCGTCTAAATCAACAGCTTTCTTAATCCTCAAAAGACGCTCGTAATTGCTGCCCCAAAAGGTATGCTGCGAGTCTTCCTCGTATGAAAGGCCCTGTACCATGTTAGCGGTAGTCTGAAAACTGCTGGTTTGGAACACCATATGGCTGCCTTACCTCGTTTAAGTAGGATCCTCCGCCCGGTGCCAACCATCGGAAGCCCTCGACTGAGTGGTAAATGCTCTTCTCGGCTTCCTTCTTGGATATGTCATTGGATGAAGTCCATCTAACGGCAGTGACTATGTGGAGGGATAATCAGCTCTAACTAATCCTCTCAATTGAACTAGCACAACTTGCTCCCGTGGATGTAAGCAGTCCTCCATGCCGAGTGTACAGCATCCCCTCCTCCCCTCGGCTTCGCGTGGTGCACACCCTTGCTGGAGACCAGAAAAGCATATACACCGCCCACATTATCGGTGGTCGTCTTCATCGCTACGGCCAGGGCTTCCAGGTCATTCGGCGGTAGCCTTGTAGAGGTCGTACATCCCGTTGCTACCCCCGGCAGTAACTGCGTTTCCTGGGGTAGTGATACTGGATCCAGCGAGCTTGAACTTATCCGGGTGGTAATGGATACCCGTCATGTGGTGCACCCAGATTGAGAGCGAGTCGGGGGCAATCGACCGGCCTAGGCAGTCGTGCTCTGTGCTCTTGACAACAAGTCTCACATTGTTCTTCCTCGCTACATCGACGGTCAACATCTGGCACACACACATACACACGAAAGAACGAGAAAATGACAAACCAAAATCGATGCCGAGCTTGACGTGCTCCGGCGTGGTAGCGTTCACGACGAATGCAGGCTATCCGTCAGGGCTGCACATATAAGCCGGGTCAGGAAGGCAGGAGTCATTAGCGAAGTTGCTCCAGACGACGGAGATGGGGTCATCGAAGTGGAGCTCGTACGAGTCCCAACGGGCCTCGACGTCGGCGCAGCGGGCCTCGTCGAAGACGGCCTGTCCGGGATGGCAGACAGCTCCCGGAGGAGTCGGTCGCAGGAGTCGTCCTTCCCCGAGTAACTCATCGAGGTAGGCCCAAGTTTCTGCCGAGGGCCAGTCAGCGCTGCCAAGGTAGGATCTGCATGTTGACTTGAAAGGAGTCTGGGGTGAGAGCCGCAGTAAAGAGTAGGCGACGCTTTATGGCGTATGACAACATAATTTTCAAGTGATAAGACTGGTAATCGAGGCTATAGTCTTACCTGGGTAGAATGATTATTTGAAGGCTGCGGCGGCATCCTTTTTTGAAGCGCCGTGATAGTCAAAGGAAGTCTAGAGCTGTGATCTCTGTGTAGCAAACAGTTCTGCTGAAGTGGCACGGAAGGATTGGGGCTGAGACAATGGGGTTGTAGCGGAGCTGTGAGATGTTGTCTCGACAAGTAAGGCGTCCGAGATGTGATGTCGTCGGGCTAAATATGAGACATCGATCTTACCAATTAAGAGATGGTTATTCCGAAAACTAAGCATCCCCCATAGATGTCGTTTATCTTTCAGCTCCGGCAAGACGACGTGTTGTCACGGTTGTGTCATCTCGCACACCGTTTATCGGGGCGCTAACGAGATCCTGATGCAGAGTGAGATTCATCTAGCCGTGACATCAACTCGCCCGTGTCAAAGGTTTACCAAGTCAGACTTGGCTGTGGCCTGGCTGGGCAATGGGCCAAACCGGAACACGCGAGCGATGAGACCATTAACATGTGTTCAGTACTAATATTTTGTTCTAGGCTGAAGTCTCAAGAGGTTTAACCTCAATCATCTGCTAATCTTGTGTCACAAACTCGTCGATGGAAATGTTACATCACGTCAGCGTTCATAGGGTAAGGTCACCAATGTTAGCATTGTCTCCACACAATAGCACCCGACTAACACTCAATTCCTCATTACTAAATGAAGAATCATGTGGTAAACTTGACAAATGACTTTGGGTGTGTATTCGTCGTTGTTGGTTCGGGGTACCGTGACACTAACGCAGACAAACTGCATGAAGACATCCAATTGGACATTTTGAATCATGTCGGCAGTTGAGTTGAGGTTTTCTAGGATCTCAACCAACCTTTTGGAACAACAATAAGGTGCATGGGGACGCATGGGATTGTTGTACTACCCTGATTGCGCACACCAAAAGCTTAAAAAAGGCTCTTCACCGATGCCGTACTACTGGATACCCAGCATCAATGCCATCTTTACGAGCACATTCATTAGCAATGATGAGGAGAGGTGCCACATCAAGGGCTCTACTCCGTCTCTGGGTGTGCAGATTCTTCGCCTCAAAGTGACACAAATCATCATCACATTGCTTTCCATTCATCCAATCTGATACCGCCTTGTATTACAGGTACAACTACCACGACCATATGAACGTATTGCATTACGCAGCATTTGCCCTTGACAAGCCTAGCCATAAACGATCTCGGAGTATCTTCAAGTCAGATACTTTCGGAGAGATCCCAGCTGGCATCTGTCAACTCGCGCAACCGCGCTGGCTGACTTACTATTCCCAGCGAGCTGAACACCCGTGACCCGTCTGAGTATTCGAAGACGTACCTCCCGGTAACCGAGCTTTCAGTCTCGCTTATAACGCGGTCCCGGTTCGTGGCAGCGACGTCGATGTATCTAAATCGATAATATTTCAACAGCTCGAGAGAGGCATACAGATTACGAACTGCGTATTCAGCATTGCTCAGGTCCATGATGCGCTGGAGGTAAATTGAATCCATCTCTTTGCCTGTCCCAAAGGTCGAGCTGGCTCTTGATGTAGTTGATTCACTCGTGTTCAGGGATATGCCGCTTGTCGGGGGAGAGGCCGGGCGTATCGATGACTGCATCTGGAGCTCGCCGTCATCGAGTTCGGCGGTCTGTATGTTGATGTCGTCTTCTTCGGCGACTAGGTAGTACGGCTGCATTTTTTATCAAGGATCGAATGAAGGATGTCTTACCACAGCCTTTTGTACCGATAATTGCTAGCAAGAGTGTCTTCAATCTGCTGTTTAGTTGGACTTTTCACCATGTGAGTACCCAGATGCAAGCTTGAATGATTTGTCAGGGGCGGTTTTGGGGCGGCAATAATACCACAGAGTGTCCGCGGTCATCTCTTCTCTGAGCTGAACTGATGAAGTCTAGTTCATCGAGTTCTTCTTTCACAAGCGTTCTACATGGTGAAATACCTCGAGACCAGACTGGAGTCTTATGAGGTTTTGACTGCGATGGGGATCTGAGGCAGGTGGCTTTAAACAGGCCCAAAAGAGCCGAAGCTTTCTCTGACTCAAGACAGAGAATTCGAAAGATTGTTACCGTGGCCGCTGTTACTCATTGAATTGAATAAAAAGAGTCGTCAAAGACGATATGTAAACTGCGTTGGGGAAACAATTGATTTCCGAAGTTTAAAAAAGAAAACTTTGACCGTACTCATTGTTCCTGCCAACGTTTGGAGTTTACTCTCTTCCACGCTGTGTCGACGGAGGCGGGCGACGACATTCCGTCACCTGCCCCAAAGAAATATCAGAAACTGAATTACTGGTTAAAGGCTTTGTATTTAGTTGATTCTCTAGAAAAAAGAACATGAAGAAGGATACAACTCGAGGGAATCTACGCTCGGGCTTGAGCAACCTTACTTGGACGACTTCTCGAGCGTGGCGGTCATCACAGAACTCGAAAAGTTCCCAAATGTCTGGCCGGTTGGCCCAATGGCAAGGCGTCTGACTACGATTCACCGTGGCATCAGGAGATTGTGGGTTCGACCCCCATGCTGGTCAAAATCTTTTGCAGTTTGAGGGGCAACTCAATCATGCATGCCTTTTTGCACAAACACAGACAAGTGCTCGAAGAGATTCTTCTTCGCTAGGTTTGTTTCATGTGAACAAGCTTAGTGGGCTGTTATGACAGACCTTGTGACTTGAGGTGTGGCGTTTTGTGGCCGACAACTCAGCCGCTAAACTCTGACAATGACGTTGTAAAGTCAGTTGCGAGCCGCCGAAAAGAGTCGTTTGCAAATGCTCCCTCCCAGTCAATATTCGGCGTAGGAAGAAAACACTTGCCAACACACACCCAGTCTGCAAGTCGTCTTAAGTCCAGAATAAGCCAGCGTGCTGACCGACTGTTTGCCAAAGGCAAGATAGGCAGGTCTTCCAACACTTTGAATGCCGAAACGAGCTTGGACGTAGCGAATTAGTGGCCGTTGCTAGCCCGGAGTCTCGAGAGCCTGCGCGGCAAACTTTCTGTTGGCCCGGACTCTACTCTTTCAGCCCCCTAGCTCGACCATTTCTTCTTTCTCAGTGTGTTCCAAGACAATTGAAGGTCAAAACCTAGCCCGCACTCTTGTCGTCTGGATAACTCGGCAAGTCCACCTTCCGACCAGGGGCTCCGCCGAGGCCGGTACCATTGCGCCAGACAGGGGGCGGATTGTTGTTCGCAGAGGAACTTGTGAGATGAGATGCTGTGCCGCAGTGACGTACCTTGGCACTTTGGTAAGGCACCACCACCCGGAGCCCTGGGAGGTGTGATACAGGAGAGCAACACAGTAATAGCTGAGGCACGGTTGTTTGCATACGAGGGGTCCCTTCGAGTCGTGGGACAAGGAGATGACGGTAAAGAGTGCGGTACGAAGAGTTCGTGTCTCAGTCGAGTCACCCAAAGTTGGTTACTGTGAACGTGATACGACCCATTACGAGGTAAACTCAGCCCTGCCGATCGTCAGCAGTAGCAATTGTGGATCACTTGGTGATTCCGTCAAGATAATAGCCTGGGTGAGGAAGAATGATGGACACCAATGCAGCATCGTGGCAGACAATTGAGCTTCAGCCCGGCCGCCCCATCCCCGCCCCGTCGTTGTCTTTTCCTGTCTGCCCCGACCAATTGCAAACCTCAATGGGAGCGAGCCCGCCCACCTGAACCTTGCTCCGCAGACTGTACCTCACTGTCTCCGTACGGATAGCGATGGCTTCCGCGTAAAGTAGTGGGTGAGGTGCCGATCAGCAAGGTGCAGGTGCAGGTGCTGGTGCTGGTGCTGACGACGCTGGCGGGACGAGGAAAGCGCCCGGCGGGAAGTCGCAGGGGTCGCCTGCCAAGTTGCGTGCCGACTTTCCCAGAGTCGCCCCCCAGATTGCACCAATTTGCAGCCAATCTGCACCAAAAATACTCGACTTGGCGACGCAAACAGCCCGCCTTGGCCTCCAAAAGAAGTGCGATGTGCCTCTTGTTTTCATGTGTCTGCCTACCTAACTCTGGTCACTTATAGGCGGTCGACGGTCAGTCAGCGGCCTGCCATTTCGGATTTCTCTTTCTTGGCGAACCTGCACGGCATCCGCCATTCATCCTTCCTCCTCCCCTCGTTTCCGCCCAGACGTCTTGGTGTTTTGGCCTCGTGTATTTTCCCCATTATCCTGTTCCTTTTTTTTCGGGGGTCTCATCGGTTGTTTGTTTCTTCCCAGTATTATTTTTTGCTCATTATTCTTTCCTGTCGTCAAGAAGACATTGGAGGCAATACATTCCGAAGACCATAATTCTGCTGGAGATCCACGCACGCAGCAGCGCACCCACCCCTGCTAGACGGCGGCGGCGGCGACGACGACGACAAAAGCCCCATTGCCATTAATCCGATAAGACGACTCGAAAAAAAAAAGTAGCGACATCCCAAATCCGTACAAACGGTCCAGAGACGTACACTTTCTGACCCCGGGGGAAACCCTTCGAGGCTGTCAAACGACCGCACACGTCAAAAAACGATCCCGTTCCGTCCCATCTCCAATACGTTCGTTCAGGCGGCGCCACAACCCGCACGCGTATACCCGAACTCGAAACGAAAGCTTGTTGCGGCTTAAGCTTGGTCGATACGACGGGAGAGGCACAACCGCCCCCCATTACGGATACATCCCCTCGAGATCCTCACACTTTTAGATCAGGGTACCTGCTCGAGACCCTTTCTCAGAAAGACGACAAGAATCCCATATCAGTGGCGGTTCACCTTTCTCCTGGGCTCAGCAAACACCCACAGGCCAATTCGACTCGTCTCAGCACATTGCGCAAAGGGAATCACAAACAGGGGAAAAGAGTGCGAAACCTATAAACATCAAAATCCACAGGGGAAGAAGATCACGATGACGTTCCCAGCTCCAGCCCACGCACGACGCAGTATAGTCTGCGTCGCAGCCTTCGTCATCCTCACCACAATATTCCTTGCGGCCGCCCGCCTCGCCTCTCTAGACCTCACACCGACCATCCGTCGTCGCCCCGCCGCTAAAAGTGCACTTGGGTACCTCTCGCCCGCCGACGCACCAATGTCCTACGGCGAGACCGCCCGCCCAGGCTTCACTGACCTCTCGGTCCACATCGCCAATCTCCCAGAGCGTCACCTCCCCTCCCGAGCGAACCCGAGCCGCAGGCTCGTCGTCGTCGGCGATGTCCACGGCATGCGCGCCTCCCTCGACAGGCTGCTCGAGGAGCTGCACTTCGACACTGCCCGCGGCGACCACCTCGTCCTCGCCGGCGACATGATCAACAAGGGCCCCGACTCTCGCGGCGTCCTGGATCTGGCCATGCGCCTCGGCGCCTCCGCCGTGCGCGGGAACCACGAGGACCGCGTGCTGCTCGCGCACCAGAATATGAAGACCACCTACGTCGCCGATGAGGACGCTCACGGCGGACCTGTCAACAAGAAAGAGGAAGATGAAGAGGAGGACGAAGAGGAGGGAGAGTCCAAAGCAGAGAACAAGGAGGGCTCCAGCACGGACAATCAGTCAGAAGAATCGTCAAGCGACAATGCCTCACCCAAGAGCGAAGGCCAGGACGAGGCCGAAGACGAGGCACCCCCAGAAGAAACCGAACCAGACGACCTCGAACCCGCAATCTTCCCCCACGGCGACTCCAAAGAACGCGCCACCGCCCGCTCCCTAACCCGCAAGCAGCTCAAATGGCTCGCCACCCTCCCCGTGATCCTCGACGTCGGCACCGTTGATTCCATCGGCAACCTCGTTGTCGTCCACGCCGGGCTCGTCCCCGGCCTCGCCCTCAAACGCCAAGACCCCTGGGCCGTCATGAACATGCGCGGCCTCGTCTACCCGCGCGAGGAGCTCCGTCGACAAGAGGCCCACCGCGCCCTCGAAGAGTACCGCAGGTCCCACACCGCCGCGCCGGGCGTCACCGAGACCATGATTCAGCGCGAGCACGAGCGGAGGAGGAAGCCCCACGATCGCAAGATTGCCATCCCCACCGATCGCCGAGGCGGCTCGAGCAGCTGGCCAAAGGCGTGGAACGCGCACCAAAAGGCACTTCCCGAGAAGGAACCCCGGACCGCCGTCGCGTACGGCCACGATTCCAAGACGGGTCTTAACATTGCCCAGTATACGTTTGGTCTCGATTCCGGTTGCGTCAACGGCGGGGAGCTGACCGCGCTCGTCATCGAGGCCTCGGCCGAGGGCGGCGTCACGCATTTTATCAAGAGCGTCAAGTGCGACAAGGACGAGGGGAGAAAGGACAAGAAGAAGAAGAAGCATAGGAAGAGCAAGAAAGGCAAGAAGAGAAGCGAGGAGCAGGGGGACGAGGCCAAGTCATAGAGAGAGAAGAGCGCGCGTCTTTCTGGTACAGGAAATTGAGGATCAAGGGAAATATCACTTAAAGAAGGGAAAAGGCGAATCAGACGGCACGGCACGGCACGTCCACGACGGACACCCCAGATAGAAGGCCAGTATACAAAAGCCGGAAAGGAGAGAAACAACAATAGCATGCATGGACTGGCTGCTCGATACTCTTGCATTTCTTAAGGGAGAAATGGATATATCTAGAGTCATCGCCAACGTCCCTACCGCCTAGAGGCATCCACTGTACGAAACAAGACGTAATTAATCCGTCTGTATCGGGATGCAACCTATAATTACTTTAATGATGCGTCATGTTACTAGGCGTTTGTCTTTAATTCAATTCACACCATCAAGTCAATTTTTGGGAGACCAATTTCTCGGATTTTTGCTACCAAGCAGTCTATCTTTGTGATTTTTTGCCTCCCTTCGAAAAAAATAAGGTGACTTCCACACACTCAGCGCCTCTTCCATCACTTGAAGCGCTGTTTGCTGGGGGTGTATGTGTGTGATGGGGGGGATTTGTTTGTTTTCCTTCTCATTAAGTCATTCTCACATCATGATACGTATCCTCCCAATGGAAAAGTGTCTCGCCCGCAGGCGTGGCTCTGCGTTTTTGTTTTTGTTGGTTCCTTTCCGCGTCAGAGTAGGCAATTTATGCCTGGACCTTCTGCTTGATGATGTCCTTGAGGGTAACGGCGTCAGCGGCGAACTTGGAGATACCCTCACGAAGCTTCTCGACGGCCATTTGCTCCTCGTTGAAGTCGAAGCGGAAGGTAGCCTCATCGTTGATGTAGGTCTTCTTCTCAATGTCGAGGCTGGAGGCCTGGGCGGCATCGAGCTTCTTGGGGACGACGGCGTCGGAGTTGAGGAGCTCCTCAAGCAGGTTGGGCTGGTGCATGTGTTAGTTACTGGGTCTTTGAAGCGCACAGGAGCGAACACGATGGTTGGTGGCAAACGTACGGAGATGGTGAGGTAATCGCAGCCGGCAAGCTCGGTGATCTCGCCAATGTTGCGGAAGGAGGCACCCATGACAATGGTCTTGTAGCCGAACTTCTTGTAGTAGTTGAAGATGGTGCCGACGGACTTGACACCGGGGTCCTCCTCCTTGGTGTACTCCTTCTTGTGGGCGGCCTTGTACCAATCGAGGATACGGCCGACGAAGGGGGAGATGAGGTAGGCACCGGCCTCGGCGGCGGCGATGGCCTGGGTGATGGAGAACATCAGGGTCAGGTTGGTGTTGATGCCGTGGTCACGCTGGAGGATCTCGGCAGCCTTGATACCCTCCCAGGTGGAGGCGATCTTGATCAGGACGCGGTCCTTGGAGATGCCTTGCTCCTTGTACAGCTACGGGTGTGTCAGCAAAGTTGCTCAAAAGGTGTCAAGATCACACTGGAGGCGAAAAGGGGCACATACGTCAATAATGTGCAGGGCCTTGTCGACGGAGGCCTTGGTGTCGAAGGACAGACGGGCGTCAACCTCGGTGGAGACCTTGCCGGGGACGATCTTGAGGATCTCCTTGCCAAACTCGACGAGAAGGGCATCGAGGGCAGCGTCGACCTGCTCGTCGACGGAACCGCCCTTCTTCTTGGCGTAGGCGACGGCCTCGTCAATCAGCTTGGCGTACTCGGCCTTCTTGGAAGCGGCGAGAATGAGGGAAGGGTTGGTGGTGGCATCTTGGGGCTTGTACTTGGCGATGGCTGTACAGTCGTCATGTTAGCGAACATCATTTGCCTTGTGGTATACTGCCACGATCCATTGGCCGTGTTGGCCGTGATGGATTGAGGTTGTAGTGGCGAAGCGGTGATCAAGAAGTCTTTTGAGAGATTTTGGGGAATGGCGGGGAGGAAGAGGCGGGGTGGACTGACAGGCAAAGTCGCCAGAGTCACTGACGACGACGGTGCCGGTGGCCTTGAGCTGGTCGAGAGAGGTAGACATGGTGATGTTTGATGAAGGAATTGTGGCGGTTGTGGTATCAAGAAGGGAGATTGACTTGAAGAGGAAGAGGAGAGGAAAGGAGGAGCAAGCAGGAAAGGGGAAAGAAGAGGACGTGAGGTTATAGAAGTAGTAGATCTTTGTTGAGGAACAAGCGCACCGCACCGCACCGTACCTCCCCCGGGTACGAGGGGTAATTTGTCCCTCATCCTCACACGCCGGGATGACGGACGGTAGCCGCCCCCCCTAGTGTGGGTCTAGAAATGCCATGTATCTGAGAGTAGCTGGGTAGCTGGGTAGGTACGGAGTACAGAGTACCGTGGGTACATGACATGAGCAAAAACCGCCGCGCCGTTCCCGAAGACGAGAAAAGCTGACGGTATCGGCTATTACCTGGTTGTGATGCTACAGAATCCGTATCCATGGGCCTTGCCGTTCAGCCCAGCACCCTTTGAGCCATTTTAACTGACTGGGTAGTCAATGCAATTTTTTCTAGAATGTTGATCAGATTCTTTTTGAGTTGTTGTTGGTTCATCTCTCGACCCCTACCGTTTTGCAGGCTTTCTGCTTCGAGTGACCTACCTACTTAGACTTACTTACATCAACCTCCGACGACCGTCCACGTCCATTTTTTTCCCTCCCGCCCACCGTTTGGCGGGGTATGATTACGTCGTGGCGACCCACACCTCATGGACGACCGTGAGTAAGGCTGTTGCAGGTCGCTGCATACCTTAGGAGCAGAGCTGTGCTGTGCAACTGCTGCAGTTGCTGCTTCAGCATTCCCCGTCGCCCGCCCACCTGCGACCCTAGCGGTAGAGGTATCCGTAAAGGAATCCAGGTGCCCCCCCCATCAACATCCGCGGTGCCGCCCCTCCACGACCCAGAATCAATCGTCATACCCCCAGTGTTTTCCGTGGAACTTGATGCCAGTTTGAGCAATGCTGCTGCTTGCTGTCCTGTGCTGCCTCTGTTTTATGCCACTTTTGATGGATCCGTTGATAATCACATCGGCGGTTCCGCCTTTTCGCTGTCGCAAGTACCCTGTCGGATATCCTCAATGCTAGCCAAGGCTTGTTTCTAAGAAATCGCTCTTTGCCCGCCTGCTGCGAGGCTGCACAGGGCAGGCCTGGAGGGAATCCGACGTACCCATCTCCATAGAAAAACGGTGGAAAATCGCGAATCACGATGGGCTCTTGCGTCGCTCAGGACAACCCAAACCCCATTTACCAAGCAACAGCCACCGTCCCTCATAGTAAAATCAAGGAAATGACATCGGCTGGAGCGTCAAAGAAGCGAACAAAATACCTTGCCCGGGTTCTTATCACATTGAGGCGAAAGAAGGAACCTGGAAAACTAGAGATATCTCAAAGGCCCGACTCGAGACAACTTGGAATATTCCACTCGTCTTCGGTGTTAGGCGATGTCAAAATTGCTTGGTCACACGCCGCCGTTCGTCATCGCCGTTCCCCCCCGCCGTCGCCGTAGATGCCCCGTCCGTTCCGGCGACTTCTAATTACTCACCTCCCTACCCTTCAGCAAGAACAATGCTACCTATTGACCTTAGGTAATGACAGACAGCTAGCTAGCCTGAGACGCTTCTTCGGCTCAGATAACCCACTCACCCACTGTAGCCGTGGCCGTCGCCCCCATCCCCTCGACATGAGTTGAAGAGGTCATCCCGCTCGAAGTCATCTCGCAAGACTTGTGTGTACTACTTCTGCTCTGTGTTTGTCTCAACCAAAGGCTTGACCCCAAGATTGCGCAAAACTGCCTTGGCATTGTGACTCAGCTACTCCTCCTAAGGAAACCCGTCCCCAAAAGACCTCCAGCGTGCTTCTCACCTTCAACCACGTGCTCGCCATCGCTCTTCATTGGCCAAAGACTTACGCCCCTTGACTTTATCCGTCAGATCCGCCCGCCAGCCGCCGCCTCAATCGCCCCTCGGTTGTTATGGAACTCGTTGGGCGGGTTATCTCTCACAACGCACCCCCATGCCACGGCCTCTTAATTCGGCCGTGGTTACGGTAGCAGGAAAAGAGAGATAGACCAAGGATATAATTAGACCAGGGGAGAAGAAAAAAAGAGAGGCAAAGCCCGTTATCGTGGGATTTTTTACCGCCACCAGTTCCGCGCCAATGTCCGACGAGCTTTATTAGCCCAACACACTCTCCTTGCCCCCCCCGAAGTCGCCCTCTTCTAGACAACCTGGAAAGGTTGACCCCCACCTTGAATTAGGAAACTCCGATTGCCAGTATTCTCTGACCTTCCACCGCCTACTCCCACGCCAGCCTCTCGCCCTCGCCATCTCGCGGACAGCGGCCAGCACATAATTATCCGAACCAAGCGTGCGATTGGCGGGCGTAGTGGAAGAAACGGAGCCTTCCTGTCCTACTCGGGACTCGCCAGGGACTCTTTCAACCGTCCGGCCGACGATCCCGACCAAACCCGCCAACGGCACCGAGACCATGCCGAGGAAGCAGCTGCGAATCCCGCAACAACTCAACTCAATGCCTTGTAGACAATCACATTACTACAGCATGTTTTGATTAGACTTCGTCAACCGATGCAATGACTTTAGTCTTGAGAAAGGGACAAGGCCAATTCGATAAGGCCTCATGCCACCCGCCTATTGATTCATACAAGGCTACTTTGAATTATGTAGTGACTTTTCGTTTTCCTAAACCGCCCCCCGAAAGACTTTTCCTAATGCCCACCCGTTGTATTTAGTCCTCCGTGATATCACCATACTCCCACATGCCGAGGCGCTCCTCCTTGGCCTTGGCCTCAACCTCCTTCAGGTGCTTCAGGTAAGCGGCGTGTTGGCCGCTGCGCTCCCATGCCTTGAGCTTCTTGGGCACCATGGCCTGGCCGTTGGCAACAATCTCCTTGTTGATCGAGTCGTTCGGGCCCGGCTTCTTATCGCCAGCGTTGTAGTCAAAGAGGGTGATGTAGCTGACGCCCTCCTTGGTGTCGACAAAGTCGAAGCTGGCAACCAGCTCCTTGCCCTCGGTCAATTCGGCAATGAAGCCAATGGACTCCGAAAAATATTCCGGCGCAGTAGGCAGTTGCAGGAATGAAAGCGAGGCGTCGATTGCCTGGGCCTTGAGTTTCTGCACGGTGAACTGAGCCTGGTCCAAAGGTCTCAGCTTGGACCAGGGCTGCTTCTCCGAGTTACCGTAGTCGATGTAGACAACCTCGGCAACCTTGGCTGCGCGGTCGTTGGAGCGGATGCGGCCTCTGTACCACTGGCCATCGGCAGAAAACTGGGCGGCGACAAAGTCACCGGCCTTGGGCGCATCACCAATAGGCTTACTGTTTGATGAGTTGAGGTGGAACTTCTTGAAGTCGTTCATCAACGTCGTCAACGCAGCTGTACCCTTGCCGATTTCCTGGATCTTGATCTTGCCGTTGCCATCAATGTTGGTGATGACAACATCACGGTAGTCCTTAGGCTTGTTGTCGTATGCCTCGGGGGTATCGTTGGTAGTTTCAACGGCCACAGCCTCCTCCTCCTCCTCTTCTTGGGACGGGTCCCAGCTGTGCCACAGTCCCTTTCTGCCCTCCTTGGCCTTCTTCTCAGCAGCAAGTAGCTCAGTGGCGTTGCCAGACTTCTCGGCGGAGTAGCGGTGGACAGATGCCAGTCCCTCCTCCACAAGCAACTTTGCCACATTCTCACGGTTGATGTACAGGTCACCGATAAATCCTCCAACCTTGTCGATGTCGTAGATGTCGACCTCGACGTCGCGCTGGTTGCAGCGGCGGCTAGCAAGGTCAATAGCCTCCTGACCAAATTCCTCGCCGTTGTCGCCTCCACGGCCCGGGGCACGAGGAGCACGAATACCGCCCAAGACCAACGTCAGCTTCACACCCTCACGGGGGATCAGGATGGTGAAACGAGAGCCAGACTTGACAAAATCAACAATCGCAGGCACCTTCTTCTGTCTTGATAGGGTGCCGAGCTGGATCTTGGCCTTTTGCAGGGACTCGGAGGCATCAACGTATTGCTTAATCTTGGGGGCCTTGCCAGACCAGATACCCTTCTTCTCCTCTTTGGCCTTCTCCTGGGCAGCGAGGAGCTCGTCATAGTTGGGAGAACGGTCAGTGTCGTCCTTGCGGTGACGGATCACAGTTGCGTAACCCGCCTCGACCAGCTCGAGACCCACGTTCTTGCCCTTCTCAGTAACTGTGGCAACCTCGCGGGCCTCGTAGTCATCGGTAGCAGGCTTTGAGCCATCAATGCTGATCTTGACGTGCTTGCCGATAATCTTCTTACGCAGGAATTCCTTGGCCTCTTCCCTGTATGGGGCCTCAGACGGCTCGTTGGTGCGAGGGCCACGGACACTGCTCAGGTTGACTCTTTTCTCGCTAGTTCCGGTCTTATTACGGACGACAATGGTATCCGCGCCGATAATCTTTGCGACAATCATGTCGGACGAGGAGGCGTCGGCCTTGGCAACGTGGTGCTGGTGGAGGCGCAGCTTCTTGCCCTGAGCCGTCTTCTCAGCAGCACGAAGGGTGGCCATCTTCTCACCGAGCATGGTAGAGTGGAAGTCGTTACATCTTGCGAGGCCCTCGGTGAGGAGAAACTCAGCGATATTCTTGTTGCCGTTGGGGTGGATAATGGCTGCCACCAACTGTCCTTGAGCGCTGGCGCCAACAATATCAACCTTTACGCGGCGCTGGAGCAGTCTCTCCTCGACAAAAGACTTGGCCTCGTTTCCAAACTCTTCAGCAGCCTGGGTCTGGCCGGTAGACTGTATCGTTCGCTCGGTGGTAGGGGTACGGACTCCAGCAAGGAGCGTCATGACCTGCACGTGCTTCTTATCCGAAAGCAGAAGTCGCACGAGCAGACGGTCGCCGCTGAGGACCCGCTCGATAATGCCGTCAACGGTCTTGCCCTTCCACTCGTTCATGAATTGAGGGCCGCCGAGGTCATTCTGGACCTGGATGTTGCCGCCGGTGCCAGACCAGAGACCCTTGCCCTCATTCTTGGCTTCGGTCTC